CTTCAATACACAATATATATGCCTGAAATGGGCTCGACACGGGCATGTTTCTAAGACCATAGCCATATAAAATAAGAAAGTTGTATTCATTTATGAGAAAACGGAGAACGGTAGAAAAATCTGCACTGCATTTGCCTTAAAAAAATACCGTGATAATGTTTTTATCCAAATCTAATATTTCCATAAATAAAAAACGTGTGGGAAACTTGCAAAACTTTCAAAAAGGCGAAAATCGAAAAACGCCCAATATCTCTGTTGGTGCTGAAGATATCGCCATGCGATTTTAACCATTAAATACATTAATTAACCACAAATAATCAAAACAAACCAGTGAATTGAAAAATATATAAAATGGGCATCAATCACGCGTTATAGCAACGAAATTATCACCAGCAATTTTTCGCCATCGCACCTTCAAACAGCGAACAACTTTCCACACCACCCGGGTACATTTTCACGGCGCATAAAAGGTGTCGTCTTCAAGTTCAGGTCATACAAAATGGCCAATAGAATCTCGACGCAGATGGAATTACTAATAGGACAACGCGAATAGAAGACAGTAAATTTCGTTGCCGTGTAAGAGAAAATGATAATATTGGTTTTAGAAAAATCGACGACAAACAAGAGATTCTGAACGGGTGTACGTTTATTGGGAAAAAGGGAGCATTAGATTATGTTAATATGATTTTCGCGACCGTGTGTCGTACGTGTTTGCCTCAGTTGGTGTCACAAAAAAGCGAGCGGAAGTTTTTGACACTCCGATGTCGTTGACCTCTTCCAAAACCATCTCAACAAATACGTTTTTCGGTGTACAATACGTATTACATACAAAACAACTACGAAAAACTTGGTGAAATTAAAGAGTAGTTTCTTATATAAACGTTGGGACAGAGGGAGATATGGCGCTACAAATATGGAGGCTAAATAATGTTTATATTTTTCTATCGTAAAAACTGAAATAAACTGATCAATATAATATCACGGAAGAATTACTTTCATAAAATCTCACTTTCTGCATTTTTTTTTCATAAAACTTTTAAACAAAATTTTCGAAATAAAAAAATAAACAATTTAGGTACTATCAAACAAGTGTATTTTGTATCATCATTTATCAAATAACTTCTAAACGTTTGAAAAATAATTTATTAATAAACATTAATGAAACTAACTAAAAATAAATGATCAATTCGTGCGTAAACTGTGAATACCCTTTCATAAAGCATTTTATTTATTTCAATAATGTAAGTCAAATAAAAACACAACAATAAGCAAGAGATCTATGCCAAAACAAGAATATATTTTTTATAGTAAGCGTTGACAATGCCTAGCGATATCCTACGCATTGTTGAGTCTCTAAAACGCCGGAATATTTATTTATTCATTTTCTTTTATTGTCCAAAAAGAAGATACAATCACACTGACAACGTCCAAAATCTTAATCCCTAATTAGTCAATAGCCTAGATTTTTTAGTATTATTTATTATACTTCATTAAAAACAATAATAATAATGGTAATAATTAAAATTTAAGTTAAATTACATAACATATAAAAATGACAAATCAAAAATTTTAAACACTAATAAGGGAAATTGAAGCTATAAAAGCATTCTTGTTTTAAGTAGGTGAAATTTATGTTACGAATACTATTAGGCAGAATTTCAAAGCTTTTATGGTACTAACGCCATTTTTCGAAAAAAGTGGAGCTATGAGGTGGAATTCGCAGATTTTCTCTATTTCCGGTTTGTATGTGCATACTGCCCTACAGATTATAGCTCTTTTGAAATAATAACCAATGCAAGATAGTACAAAGAAAGTGCTGTCAGTACATCAAGCGTTTGAAAATATGGTAAGCATGACATCCGGGGATATAAGTTACAAATACATCTAATGATGAGTTTTTGCGCTATGAAAACTCACTAAAACTAACCAAACATTAAGGGTAAATTGTTATCGAATGTACATTTCTAATTTGAAAGTTTTGAATTACTTTCTTTGAGAAAGTAGTTGCGTCCGAAAATACAATTTTTAAAAAAAAAGTCATGGCGAAATTATCAGAAAAAAATCGAAATCGAAATCCCTAGGTAAAAGAGTTTGAACGCTCTATGCGTGGTATGGATATGACCCTTGTTCTATTAATGTTCTTCAGAGAGTTCATGCATCAGTATTTAATTCTGCTACAATTTAAGTGATACTCGTCTCGTTAATATTTAGCACAAAAAGTCTAATCCGGTACTTTTGATAAAGCCTAAAATTTTATATTATTTCCAAGATATCACAATGAAGTTTCAGGTCATTTTAGGGTTATTGATGCATTTATATATTTATTCGACAAAAATATAATTTTAAAATAACGAAATGATTATTTCCTAAAATATGGTACCTACTTCTCATTATCGTTTTGTTTATTTCTATAAGGAAGCTTTATAATATAAATATAATAATATAATAATAATATATAAAGTGATGATAGTCTTTTAAATAAGACTCTTGTTCACGTTTTATCTCTGTACGTCCAGCAACCTAACAGGCCTGAGGCCCAACTAATAGGTAGGTTGTAGTACAAATTATTAAATACCTACAGGGGTATTGCTGATGATGATATCGCGAAACTTAATCTAAAGTCTAGCCTAACATAAATGTTAACTCTAATAAAAAAACAAGAGAATACGAAAAGATTGAAATCAATAATTATAGTAATGGACTGCGAAAAAAAAGTCCAAATTGGGTCAAGCATTGTACTTGTAGCACATTCAAAAAATTTGTGAAAATTTTAAAATATTTGTTTTTGGTGTGGGCAGAAAGTGTGTAACTAATACGGGGAACCAAAAAAATTAATCTGTATAGTAGGCCATAGTAGTTAAATTAAGTTATTTAAAATTTTAAAGTTTTATGAAAAAGATGCTAGTCATATTTCACAGCTGCACTCAAGGTGCTGAAAGAGACATTATACTTGAATTGAATTGCAAGGTATTATTTAGAACCCAATTGTTGATTTACTCCAAACTACGCTGGAGAGTAAGATATTCCAATGAACACATTTTGAAAAATTTTTAAGTGGTCCGCATAAATCAAAAAACTGATCAAGATCTTTTCCAGTGTCATTAACGAAAATGTTGAATAATAATTGACCTCAATATTGAGCCTTGAGAAAACCTGAGGAAGTATTTATCGGAAGTGTGACCATAAAGATGTGACGTACTGAGTGCGGTTAGATAAGTATGAAGCAAACAAATTAACAAGTGAATCTGAAAAAGAAATTAGGAGCTCAAACGCTTTTTAAAAATTAAAATGTATTTGAGAACCTTCATCAATAGCCTCAGAAAAATATTGACACACAGTCGTTAAATTGGTAATGGTGTTTCTTCCTTAAAAAAAAAACATGTTGTTGGAGGACTGTTTGGTTCTTAATAACATGTAATATTTTGTCCTGTAGAAGAGATTCTAAAACTTTACAGTAATTGCAGATAAGGGAAATAGCCCTATATTTTTTGATTTGTGATATATAGTCGTTTTGCGTACGGGAATAATTTTAAACATTTTCCATATACCAGGAACGACCTGGTTTCCCAACACATTAAAAAGTATTACAAGCGGTTTAGGCAGAACAAAACGACAGTAATGTATAAGGAATGCTGGAATTGAATCTGGACCCGTAGCAAATCTAGGTATAATTATGAGTTTTACCACCTTATATTCGTTTATATTTTTAGAGTGCTGTGAAATTATCAATACCATTAAAATTGTTGTGAGAACTCCCGTTAGAAAACGACTGTCGAAAACATAGTGCAAAAGAGTTGAGTATATCTTGCCGAGTATGTAACTCAGTGTCATTAAAATTCATATAACTCAGTACACCTGAGATTCATCGTTGTTTTGTATTTGATGATTTGATGATCAAACACAATGCAAATAAATAATACATTTTTCACTTTCTAACATAATGAGGTCGCAAAATTGTGGCATTAAATGTGAATTACACCACCTTCTTGATATGTATTGTCAGAAAAATAGTATTTTGCATTAAATAACTAAATATTTTAAAGCAGATGGTGCTACACAAAAAATATGAAAAACGGTTTAGGAAATGTATATTATAAGTATAAATTATAAACATATTGGCATAGATGAGGTTACCAGTTTTCGGAATTGATTCCTAGCAAAGTTGTATTATCGTATTTAAAATGGTTATCAGTTGAAATTTGAGTACCTATTCGTTAGAACTATTTTTTTTAGACAATGCATTTTTTAAAAACAAAATGCACGACAAGAGTTTACGAAATTTATACTTTCTGAACAATAGTTGAACCACTGGCATTTCTACCACTAACACAAAAGATAAAAAAAAGTCCTCAACAGTAAAACAAAAAATACAGAATAATAGGCAATAGAACAATTTCTGCATCAACACAAGAATTTTATATAATATTTATAAACTTTACATTAAATATCGATTATATATTTTCTATCAATATTGCAATGCAATTCAAGAGTTTTTACAAATACACGTAGCATTCTGCAAAAAACAACGATATTGCTATTCTCTGTGTGTTTTATTCAGTGTACTATGCATCGATTTATATTTCCTGTAAGGATCACCAGTTTCAGTACAAACAAGTCTTTCAAAACTTTATTCTGCCATAATGTAAAATCTCAAATGGAAAAAGGAGCTAGCTGCAAGTATTTTGATTTTATCGAATGAAATCTGGTGTCTTATTTCGTGACGATGGTGTTCTTTTAGTCTGGTTGATATATTTCGACCTCGTTGCTTGGTGTATTTTTTGCGACACCTGCACGGTATGCTGTAAATAGCAGTAAAGAAGTATGTTTGGTCAAACGTCAGCTTGACAGAGTCAACACCCGACGCAGAAGGAATATAAAAGATATCTACCGGAACTTCAATGCTGTTTGACCATTTTTATATCTCATCCCTCATATTTCTTGCCTCTGAAAAATGAAAAATGGGACAAAAGATGGACGCAGGAAAAAAAAAATCTCTGGAATATACATCATTTTATTTGAGGTTAGACAAACAACACAGTATACAAAGTATCTAAGAGGGAACGGAAATCAATGTCAACTATAACCATTTTAGAATTACTTTTACACCCACTTTACAAAGATATTAAAATAAATTTGAAATATACAAAACTAATAGGTTTTTCCTTGATTTAATTTAAGGTTATAGGCCTACGTGTATTACGACATACTTCTTAAGCTACACTTGCATAGTTCTTCTAAATACTTATTATCTATTCTTTTTTTACTAAGGTAATATTGACTCTTCAGAGCAATTTGGTTTTTCAACCACATTTAAACACAATCGAAAGCTTTATAGAACTAAACCTTTAGAACACTGCCTGTTTTTAACAGCCATTTTTACGGATATGTATATATATTTTCTTCAATAATAAATTCCCTGAATCTAGGAACAGCCGTTTTGCAAACATTTTTCATATTTTTCGAGTATACTGAGTTTTACCAAAGCAACTGTCCAAAGCATGAGAAAAATCATTAACTTTTTTTAGTTGTTGTTTTATAGCTGCTGAAATATTTCGAACAAATTTGGAACCATGTGTGGAGAAAGCTTCGCCAGATAATTTCTTTTCTGACACAGCTTTTTGATAGTTTACGCGCATTACTATTAATAAAAATTAGACTAGTGGAGAGCATAAGAGCATTTAACAATTTTATGTATATAGACATAGAAGTTCAAAAAAAATTACCGCCTTGTATTTCGTTTCAGTATTGGATACTTGCTTCGGAAACGCGTTGTGCATTTGAAAAATCAATCGATAGCGACATTTCGAAAAAAAATAGGCCCGCATCCCGTTCAAATTCTAATCCAAATACTCCAAACCATTTGACCGCAAAATTCAACGGCAATAATTTAACGGAGGCCGTAGGTACGAAAATATACGTTTAAATAAATTATCGCTATCGATTCGGGAATCAATACGAGTCGGCACGGCATAAATTTGCAAAACGATTGCACCCGAGTTCATTTTTAAGACATAAAGTGCCGTGAAGCACTCCAAACACAGAGCGTCTAATATCACATCAAAATTGCGAACAGATTTTTTAAGCCGCAACGTGTTTCTTTGTTGCCCACAGTGCGTTATTGTGGTAATTAAGGTTTTCGTGAAGGGATCGGAGAGTTTGATTTCTCAAAATTGGACACTGTGACCAATTTAATAATTCCTACCGAAATGAGGCTTCATTTATATTCGTAGTAACGTTTTTGGCTGCTGCAGTCAATTTTTCTACAAGTTTCTACAAATGAGGCCGCCATACTCTTGTATTTGACTTTCAATAGTTTTTTTTTTCAAAAGCGTCAGTGTGTTTTTGAGATTGACTTCTATTAGATATGCTTCAAATTAGAACACTGTTTCAAGATAAATATCAGCTTTGGTGAGTCAAATTTGCGAGTCAGTGATTAAAAATTTAAAAATAGTCGTAAATAAAAAGGTGTTTTTTTTTTGGGGATGTTAATATGAACCTTTTATTATTTTAATACAAATTCAAAATTGGTTCCATTCTTTCGCAATGTCGCTGCTACTTACAAGGAACATCTCTTTTTTTCTGACTAACAGAAGTTTAAATCTTCAGCTGCACTCACATAGACTACCTGAAAAATTGGAATAGTACCGATATGTCTGCGACTAATGGCAACATATAAAATTGTAACAAAAAAATCCTAAGGCTGAATTTGATGGTAAGAAGCAAAATTTTATGTATAGTTATGCTTTTTTTAATTCGTTTTCAATCCTTGAGGTTTTGCATGACCTGAAAAATATTTCAATTTCATACTCGCCTCACACCTGCTAAATGTCATGTCATGTCATGTCATATATATATATATATATATATATATATATATATATATATATATATATATATATATATATATATATATATATATATATATATATATATATATATATATATATATATATATATATCTCGCCATGTCTGTTTCTTTTTTCCTTATTTCTAGACGGACCAGATGGCCAGCAGAAGTTTAAATATTCTTCAGCAGCATTCACAGAAACTATCTGCATCTCCAAAGATAATTTGCAATATTTTAGGCATAAGTATACGTTTCCAATCATTGAGATTTTGCATGACAGAATACCTCAAAAAATATCTTCATACTCGCCTCACACCTGCCAAATTTCATGAACATTTCAGCTTAACTTAACACGAAAATTAATGAATTTGTTTTCAAGCGAAAATTGTAAATTCGGCTCTAAATATTTGGCAAAATATATTCAGTATTTTTTGTAAAAACGTCATTTTCAATAAGAAAATATGGCGAAGTCAGTTGACTGAGAATTCAAACTTACTTAGAAGGAATGTTTGTTTCTTTGATCCCGAAATAATACCATTTTTGTTTATAGAAGGTTAAGAGTGACGATATGTCTGTGACTAGTTGCAGTATCCAAAAACATACCGTAAAAAATAACCAAATCGACTACTAAATTGGGTACTTCAAGAAAATATAAAGTTAATGAAATATTACTAATGTAGTTAAAAATAAGATTTTGTTTTCAAACAAAAATTTTAAGTTAAGCTCCAAATATTTTCGCAAAATTTCCTCAGTATGTTGGTATTGTTTCATTTTGGTTTACAATAAAGCTGAGGCACACGTCCAAACCCAATTTAAAGAAGTTTCGATTAGTTAAAATTAGATTTGACACGAAGTAATAGGTCAAATATGCACCAAACTGTTTAAACCAAACTGAAATTCTTTGTCCAAAATCATCTTTCAACATGAGCCAATTGATTAGCCTTACCTTCACAAATCGCATATAAAACACTAGCAGCAATCAAACAGTATAATAAGAGCAAGCAACCTCTCCGATTGAAAAATTAACACTCCCAAATTTAAAAATTCAATTCGTTCTACTCGCTTGTATATAAATACGTAGAAAATACACATGGTGTATTTGTTTTAGCTACCTACGTAGTTATTGGACAGTACAGCTGATACGTGTGCGGTATAGATGATATGTCTCGTACATTTTTGTATATCTTAGCCCTTACTACAGTACTGATTGTAAGATACACTCTAAAAAATTTTCGAGTATAGTTCTATAAAAGTGACTGGAATTCCGCAAAGAAAAATACGGGTTTGCAACAGCGCAATTCCGGCCTACTTTACTCTAAAAATATTAAAGGCCATGTGACTACTTGCTAGAGACGGGTGCTTTTTAAAATATTTTTTACATCTATAAGCTGTACGTATATTCACGTTTCACACTTAACAATTTCTTTTACATAAACGAAACGACGTCGCTATTAAGCAGCAGTCACTACACAAATTCAAAAGAGTTTGTTGAATTTTAGAAATGTTACTTCTAACCCGACAAATCAACGTAGATTGCATCAGAAATTTTTCAAAAGTCCCGATTCCAGCTTCGTATATTACCAATCCGGCGCATTCACCTAATAAAGGAGGTTTGAGCGGCATGCAACTTGTCTAAGTTTTAGAAGAACGGCCACAGAAAACTTCGAGAAAAATGGAAATGGTTCAAGTGCGCATGAAAAAAATGCGGCCCACTTCTGATTAAATTATAAAATTAAATATTTATGATCCTAGATTGACGCGGGTCTTAAAACTCTCCCTGACTCTCTTCGAAACTTTAACGGGGAACCAGAAAAAGGTATCGGAGCGTTAAATAACACAATGAACCCTCAACAGCGGCGGAACGTAATAAGATAGGAGAAATTAAATTTTCTTGGCTCATTATGAACTTTTGAGTGTCGACTAAAATTTCAAACGTACCAGCTATAAAAATAATACATAACTTATAAAACATTAAATTAAGTTTTAAATATAATAATAGGAAATTAGAAATAGTAGGGATAGTGAGATAACAGATCATATTTTTGCGAAAGAAAACAGTACGACAGTGTTACGAACGGAAAAGTGAAACTGCGACATTCAATTGTTGAGTGCCTCAGGGATTGCTGAATACCCATTTTTTTTCTGCGAGTGTGAAACTTACTGATTTTGTCAATTGTGACTTAACAAAATATTACAAACGAGTGTTACTTCAACTTCAAAATTAATTTAATGAAAACTAATATAAATGTTTAAACAAAGAGATAAACAAGCAGGCTCATCCTGTATGAGTTGGACGATCCACATAGAAAATATCAAAATTAAAATAGGAGCTCCCTTTAAATGTAGAAAATTCTGAAGAGACAATGCTCAATATAAAATTCACAATGCCTGTATTTTATCAGAACTAACATATCTGTTACCCATTTACTGTTCTTGTGGAAAACTCAACTTCAATAAAATACAAAAATTAAGAAACTAAAAGCTAATTGCAACTAGCGCCTATAATAAATATCAGTGTGGTTGTTTTTTTGAGTTAGATTTAAGTTATTTTAAGAAAAAAAACAGTGTTATTGTATATATTGCCATTAGAAAGCTTTATATTTCGTAAATATTACGTACGTTTCGATCAAAAAGCAGTAGGACATCTTCAGAGATGTGTTAAACATAAAGGAATTACCTCAGTCTAAAAATTAAAAAAATATATCAGATAACCTACGAAGTCCAATTCAGACGATGTGCAAATAAATTTTTGACTAGCTGTCAGCTTCTGTTCTATAATTAATACTATTATGATGTAATTACAGAACATTAAGAACTTATTTAGAAACAAATTTATTATAATTTAATAATCTAGTTGTGGATTTGTGGATTTTGCCAAAAATTAAGTTTTATTAATACATATAGAAAAGTCGTGCTACAATATTTTTTTATTATTGTTCCTATGGAATGTTTTTTTTCATGTTAGTTTGGCGCCTTATGTTACCCTTGATTCTATTTTAATTCTACGTTGTTGTTTAATAAACTAGATTCGGTCTGTTATCTGACTTTATATATGTGTTTTTAAATAATATTGTAAAAGAAGCAGATAAATTTTAAAACTAACGCGAAATAAAAATTGTCATTACAGAAAAATATATGTATCTTTAATTTTAGTCTCTTTATGTATAACACATTTCTGAAGATGGCTTACGGTCTTTGGCCGAAACGTAAGTAATGTTTAGTGAATAAAAGGTTTTATATGACCGAATACGCAGGAAAATTTTAATTCGCTTTATTGGAACCTTCCAGAAAAAGAGTAACCATAAGCAAAAATATTCCAAATCACATCACTACCCATCCGAGTTCCGAAATTATTGCAGTTATGACAAAATCTTAGGGTGTTTCAGGCGAACATTATCATCTGAAGTATATTTCTTTTTCGATCTATGAGGATCATTTGAAAATTTTACAAGGCACTACAGATAAAGTTGAAAATAATTTAAAAACAATGAAAGGGGATCACTTTCTTACTACAAGTCTCTTCTTATTTTGTTTCGTACATATTTCTATCTACAACAGAAATATATAAAAAGAAAATCGATCCGGATATCTTTTTTCTTGAAATATTTTTTTACTTATTTATTTATCTTAGGAGAAAAGCGAATTAAATTCCATTATATTTATGTAAACGTCTAGAGTCTAGAGTCTAGCGAATAAATTTAATAAAAAATTATTTCTGAAAAAATGTTATGGCAAATCAAGGTTAGCGATAGCGCAAAACTATAGTGCCCGGATTTAATTAATAGAATGCCATACGCCACTGCCCATTCCAGATAGGCTTAGAATGTCCGGGAGCCAGCAACGTTGCTGTTCCGGTTTTATTGATTTGCTTTTGTGACGTCTAGAACTTCTCTAAAAAGAATCTTAAGCCAGCCGCTGCGAGGTACGGGGAACTTCCTAAAATAAAATAAGCCGATAGTTTTCCTACTCGAGCGGAAATTGGGTCATATGAACATGGGGAAACAAATATTTAATGGCGTTATTCGAAAATCGAAAATTCCTACTTCACCGTGCCGTTATCGGTCCGACTGAACAGGAGATGAAACCGTATTATCGCTTAACTCCTGTGGGTCAGTAAAAAAAGAAAATTTTTATGTTGATTCGGAACTGTTAAAGAGCTTAGCAAACATTAAGTGAAGCACACCTGCGAGACGTATTTTTTATGTTTCCGGTAAAAGTTAAAAAGCATATTACAAATTGAAAAAAACATAATGGATAATAAATAGATATTTATTTAGTTCCCAAAACTGCAAAAAATGCGTAAAGGGAACAAGTAATAAAAAAAATACAAACTCAAATATATCTTCATTTTAATATCGTATGGACCAATCGGAAATTCTGACGCCAAGTAAAATGTTTGTGTTTCTTTTCGTCTAGCAATACAAGGCGGATCAACAAGAATGCGGAATATTCTCTTTTGTACAATAAAAACTCTCACGATAACGGTACAATGCTAAGTATATCTTGTTACCTAAAATTTATTTTGGGCCTAGTGATTGTGAAGATTTGAAGATTTTGTAGATGCCAAGCTTTAATTCAAATCTAAAACATTAAATAGCCAAAGTGCTCATCTTATTACTTATTTGAACGACTTGTTCTGTCCAAAATTTAGGAGAGGAAAATATAAAATTAAGCTTAAAAGTGCAATTCCCTCTTCACGAAAATAAACGTATATGAACCGTAGGGGAATAGGAATTGGCGCTGAAAATGAAACTTCCCCACTTGAATTTTGGGCATTAGATCTCTATACTTTTTAAAAGAATAACTTTTTGTATAATTTTTAATTTCTATGACATTTTTGTACTGAAAGATATTCGACAATATATTGTGTGTATTACAATTTTAACCGAGAAGTTCTATTTAAATATTCTTACGGCCTCCAAAATATTATTAAAAATTATTGAAAGGCCCGGGCAAATCTGTGAATTTTTTGAACCACCATTCGCTACGTTAAAGCATTTCCTAAACAACTGCGAACACTAATGAAACAGATATTACAGTTTGAATCAATTATTTTCGAAAATAATAACAGAATTTACTCGAATAATATGAGAGAACTTTTCCAGCGTTCGCACCTGTTTTCGTATTGCAGCTGCCCCAAAACCATTCACTACCGGAAAGTAGCTCTCTTTATTCAAAATAAATAATTACCTTTATTTTCTAAAAGTAGATATATAGAAATCAAAAATTAGTAGAAATGTTAATAATGTTAAGAATGAAATGCAATTACGATGGCGATTTCTTAACTAGTTGCTTTAAATCATTTGATAACGTCAGCAACAAATAAACAACACATGCAGTGGTGCCGTCGAGATAGTGGTGAGTTTCGAATTAACTCCCCACTATAACTTTTTGATATTTTTGATAATTTGGTACAGAAGACAGAACAGATAAAACCCAGACCTATCTGATTCTGGTCACCAATAGTAAAAGTATGAAAAGTTAAAACGCATTAACCAAAGTCTTCTTGTTCGAATTGAACGCTCTGTAACACACATAAGTACAGACGATTTTTATTTCACATTTGATTCAACGCAACTCGGGGTATAACGGATAGGAAATCTTTAAATTTTTTATTAAGGTTTGTGTTTGAAATATTCAGTGTTTTGTCAACTGCTCTCGCGTTTTAACGTCGCAGGTTAGTGAAATAGTAAGGATATTTCAATGGTCAAATATTCCACAATTACTAGGCAACGCAGCACTTCTCTTGACCCGTGCTTTCAAATAATTTTTTGTCCTTTTAATTCTATTAACAAATCTACTTCAGCGCAGTAATTTCAATAACGTAGATAAAGAAAATTTTGCAAGAAATCTGGTATTTAATACTTGAACCGACCGATAATTTCCCGTAATTTCTAAAGTAATTGGCCTGAAGATATTCCCTTTATTATATTTCCAAATTGCTTTCGGACGAAGTTAAGACGAAAAAACTAATGGGACGATCGTTTGGTTTATTTTCGCCGTTTTGCTTCTTAATCGGGATTTAGTTTTCCAGGTTTCGATTTATTATGATGATTGGAATAACGAGCGCCGAGAATATCGGAAGACTTTTGAAAAGGTCTGGCCCAATTTTAACAGAAAACTGCCCCATATAAAGCATCCTTATACATTGTTGTACATTACAGTAATTGACAGTAAGCGTGACAATTCAAAAAGAAAGTACGATACACAGGGCCCAGTAATTTGAGGTGCCAAACTCAAAATCGAAATATGTTACGTTTTCCCTGCATAAGTTACTTTCCGACCGATAACAGAAAAATCTACAACAGGTGTATATCAAGGTATGTATAGAATAACAGTGTATATGTTCGTTATAGTATAATAGTGGTCTAGCACAATATAAGCGTATTGCCGTATGGAAGTAGAGAAGGCCAGTATTTTTTTATTCAATATTTATTCCGCCAAATGATTCTCCTTTTGCATACTGGAAGTCGCTAGAGTGGGTAATGTTTTAATGTTTGAATGTTTAATAGCCGAGAGGCAGGGGGACAGACAAAGAAGTTTGACCATTTCAGTTACCCTTTGCATTTCGAACAACCTATATGGAAATGGAACCTGATAGAACTTTTTACGTAAAATCCAATAGTTCATTCAATTTTTTTTCACGTAAAAGATGTATTTTTTAAGATGGAATGCAACATTATGTTTCGTTTTTTCTCTATTTTTTTTGAGCTTCTTATACTCTTTTAAAATATGTTATTTTAAATAAACATATATTTCGATATTTTATTTAAAAAATGCTTCTATTCTCCCAATTTTATTCCATTCGACATATTATTAACATTATTATTATCAGAAAAAAATACAAATAATGAAAGTGTTATAATAAATAAATTATACTTGGAAATATCGAATAAAAATCTCAATTGCTCAAAATATTTTCTAGATTGTTTGATAAGCAACTCAAAAACTTATTTTTAAATGTTGTCGAGCTTTTTATATGCTTTTTAATACTCTGTGATTATCTAAATAAATTACTTTAAATAAGCATATATTTTAAGAAAGCATTACTTCTTATTCCATTATCAGAAAAAATATAAACGACAAAACATCGCGATATGGGACATAATGTAATCAGAAAATCTTCTTTTATTATTTTGTAGAATATTTAGGGAAACAATTCAATAAGTGTAAATATTTATACTTATTTTTAAGCAATATAGGACTAATTTAATCTAAAAATCTCTTTTTTTTATATTTTGTATAATGTTTGGGAAGTAAATCGAAAAGTGAAAATATTTATATTTACTTTTTTAACTATTTCCAAGAATATAAAAAGCTCAATATATTTTTTTAAAACATATGTTCTTTCACTTATTTCATTTAAACTCCGTCTTCAAAACTTCTACTGTATAATAAAATCTTAGTACACCACTGAATTCTGGATTCAATTGTAGACCAATTGTGTGAAGCCGGGAAGCTGGCGGAAAGCAATTCTTTTGAATTTTATTATTTTTTTGCATTATGTTTTTATTTTTAATAATAAAATAATAATTAGAACAATAATGATAAAATGTTAACACTCGCGTAAAAAAAAATATTGTTTTGCCAAAATCTATGTTAATTTAAAGTAATATGTTTGTTTTAAATATATAAATTATAGTCAGAGTACGCCACTTGGTACACGTAAAAAGATCTATGATTTCATTATCATCTATTCTTTATGACACAGGGTGTTTAAAATACAAAGTTAAACTGAAATCAACAGATTTCTGTTTTTTCTGTACCTCAAAAATAATAAATAATAACTGAGATATCTTGAAATAACAACGAAAAATGTACACATTGTCCATCTGTGACTTGAGAGAGTGTTAAGATGCTAAATACTTCACAGTTTTGTTTTAGGTGTAGATATTCATTTTCCAATTTGATTTAACGTTTCCATTTATCAAGATCATTCTCAAGAGCAAAAACCCATGGGGTCAGCTGAACTAGCGACGCTTAACTATACTGACGTTCTCGCTCTGAGTTTTCCATATACTTTTTTTTATTAATAGTGTATACAGCAATACTTGAAAAGTATTGTCAACTATAAACTTAAAAAATGTACAGTCTCAAGCTAATTATAGAATTTCTCTTACTCTGTATACAAAAATTTACATTGTATACTTAACAAAAATACTATATATACAGTTTTTGGCTCAAAATGATATGTTTCTATCACCAAGTTATGTAATGATATGTAAATACGGCGAGCTCCATATCCGGGCTCACATTGACAATTTTACATAAGACGTACGTTTTACTCGAGAAGCATACAGAAGCATGCGCAATGCAATCCTGCACAAATTCCTAACACTAACATAAGATTTCACATTATTAATATTGATATGATTGTCCGTGACTTGATACAAACAACGATGCGATTTGTACCGAGTCAAATGCAGTCAATCGCATGAGCATGCTACTTTTTCCTAACAGATGCTGCCGAGATTTGCGAATTTTCCACGCGAGGTTATTATTGTGTGTGTGTGTGTGTTGTTATTTTTGGCCTGCTTTAGGACGTCTATTTATCATTCAAAGGCCCGAGTGCAGATGAAAGCCATAAATTTCAGACTCGGTTAGATAAAAGGCATAGAACAGATGGCAAAAGCCGCAAATCCTGTTCCTGACATCCGACTAAATACACAATGATATGTGATGTTACATTTGGTTTACTTGGGCCTCAAACAAACTGAGAATTGCTCAATTTATCTGGAATATACGACGCTTTTTCGCCGTACACAGCAGCCTCTACCAAACGTCCGAATAAACACCCAATGCAGTTTTGTTTGCAAAATCGCCCATCGCGACTTTCAATTGACACGAAATTGCAATGGAATAAAACGCGAGTTTCATAGCGACACGAGAAAATTTTGAAACGAGAGGCTTCCCACTTAGTTTACGTCTATTAAGCTGAAGTTAGTAACATACGTGCGACATTTAAATTTGTTTAACTTAACGGTAAATTACGCGGCCCGCAGGACCTTAGAACAATATTTTTTTTTTGCTTTAATAAAATTTCGAATCCAATAAAATTCCTCGAACCCTACTCGCTAGCGTTTTGAGCAAGCAAGACCTTTCGCGTCGACGCTAATTACATAGACGCCCTGTTTTCACTACAAATTCTCTCGCATCACCACGAAGCCCCCTTAAAAAACATCCAGCCAGATACGTATTTATAAACAAGTTCAAACCTGGCGCGTCTACACCAATCAGATTTCCTCGAAACAACTCCGCGGGGGGTTTTCTGAAGCGTCTAAAGTGGCATCTACAATTTATTTTGTGTGTATAAAAGGGGGTGACACACTCTAGACCTACAACGCTCTGTGCAGGGTCAAAATAAAGGTGGAGAGAACTTGAAGAATTGTTCGCACAGGCGATGCAAAGAATCGTGCCGACGAAGAACCCATTTTGCTTAAGTAAGTGTTGACGCAGGGCGGATCGTCTGAACCTGGAACAATAAATACGAATGACAGAGTCGGATTTGATAATTCCGGAATATAAATCGTTTAAAACATATGGAACGTATAATTTTTCTTAACTCGATAATAATAACAATTAAAAGTAATAATAACAATAATTAGTATTATTGACCTCACTTAATAACTGGTTTTTGTTTTTTGTTGTACATTATTATGAGGACAGATATAAAATCGTTTAAATTAGCCAACTACAATGGTGATAACAGAAAAACAATTGAATATAGGGTTTAGGAAAAAATGAGGAAAATTTTCTGTTTTTAAATGGAACATCCTGTATATTTTTCTATTCTAACGTTCGTAAATCACCAACAGAACAAAAAAGGTCATTTCTTTTTTCGATTAGATTGATTAGACTGATTGCGAAATACCAATAAGCCCAAGAAACAATATTAATAACACTAATTTCCATGCCTTCATTTACATCGACTTAGGCGCAGCAAAAATTGTTCAAAGATGGCTGTGCAAAATAATGACAGTTCTGCCAAGTAGAAAACTAGTTATCAAAAAATTTGTTTTAATGGGTTAATTATTGGTATTGTTATATTAATTGTTATCAATTATATAAATTAATTTTGCTGTATCACTTATTCAAAAATGGTTTTTACACAAGAAGAAAAGTGTGACATTTTAGAATGCTATTTGATATGCAGTAAATAGTCTGTAAGGGCAAGAGAACGATACGGAAGCCTATATCCGCAGCTAGTTCCACAACATGAACAATTTTTGCTTATTGTATGAACCTGAAATCGGAGCCTGAGATTACTTTTTGATGGCAAATATCGAGAAGGGCTTTTAGATATTTCCGGGACAATTCTCATTCGATTTGAATTTCGGGGGACCTAAAACCTAAAGATACTAATTTCTATCTATGCAGCTTGTGCTCGAAATATCGCAGGTGGATAGATCTTTTCGAGAATTATTTTTAACAATTTGTCAAATAGAAAACGACAACAGATTCGTATTAAGGAGACTTAATTGACCAAAGTTTAAAAAAAAAAATAAATATTTACCTTGTAAATAACGATTAATTTGTATTTGACTTTAAGATCTTAGAAATAAATTTTAATTACAAAAATTTGTAAAATATTTTTACAAACGTTTCAAGTATGTTTTAATGGGCATTTGTTTTTTAAAACAACAGTATTAACAAATCTATAGTATCCGAAACGCATAATGGATGAATGATCAAATTCGGAAAGTGTTCGAGATATGGTCTAGTTACTGTTAGTCAGTCCTGTTATCATTTTTAATGTAAAAATGTTCCTAAAATTACTTCCTCACTTTAAAAGACGGTGTTAGTTGGTCCATGATCTTAGTCAATGCTACATGAAAAAATGCGTTTTTGTCCTTTTAGTAAGATCTATCTAACAAAAAAACAATCACTCTGCAGAAGTAGCGCTTAACGCGAAATTTCGAGCACTCTTTATAGAAGTTAGTATATCTAGGTTTTAGGAATTCCGGAGTACGAATTCCTTGACATTTTATTCTTAAAGAATAATACTACTTTTTTCTTCTCTCTTTTTTTTATATATTGCCAGTATTGATTTTAGAATGAAACAATAAGTAAAACAAGTTTTTAGTGCATTTTTGGGAGAACAATCCAACAAAAACAATTCATTAGTAATAACATTTACTAATGAAAAACTCTTTTAACTTTGATGTAAATGGATGGATTATACATTCATTTTTTATGTTTTGAAGGATTTTTATAATATGATCTATAATAATCTAATATAATAATTTGAATTACACATAACATAACACGACACGACATTACCGACTGCAAAAGTCCAACTTAAGAGTATCTGAGTTATCTGAAATACAATTAATTCACACTGAGTTACAATTACATGGGCGTACATTTTTGGGTTAGTATTATTGCGTCTAACTTTGTTTATTAATTCGACTCATATAATTCATATAAGATTTCAATCGCAGTAATAAGGTCAGTAATCTAAGGGGTACATTACTGGATTTTTTATGGTTCTTAAAATTTCAATTAGTTATTTTTTAACTTTAATTTTATCATTAATCGTTGTTACTTTTTGACTGAAAGTTCGCTTGCCATGTCGTGATATTGGTCTACTGAGTCCATATTTTTTGCTGAAAGTATTAACCTCCTCTCGAGCCACAGTGTTAAATGGGTAATCTTTTTTTATCTTTTCTTTTCAATTCTATGCGCATACTCAAATAATACTTTCCGTGTGGTTTGTTACTATCCTCCATTGGGTTGTCAAACTTTTTTTCAATCCACGGTCTGAACATAACAAATAATGAAAATACCTCCCTGTACTGATAAACGCTTTTATGTCGACTTTTTATTGGTTTATTGCTCGGTTTATAATCGGCCAGCCAAGTCATGACCATTTATTCATCGTGTGCTGGATATATTTAGTGATAAATTATAAGTGTTAGGGTTAGATATGTAGATTTAAAATTACATTACATCTATCTATTGTATGAAATTTTTCAAAGTGGAAAGCCTTTATATTATTTCATAAAAAGAAACGCCTTCTTACGATGATTTTAAATATGTGTGTTAAGAAATTTTTGTATTCATTTAGAATTAGCCAAAAATAAAATCATCACTTCTGAAGAACTCGACAGGATGATTAGCGAATCGCCAGCAAGTTCAGCATATTAGTTTTGGCTCATTTATATCTTGTATCAGCTTGTAGGCTGGATAACAAGCTTCTGGCTGGCGAAGAAGGTAAAATGTTGTTCTTCAAACGGATGTTATTAAAAGGATGAACATAAACAGTTTGATGTACTAAAACTCTAGTCCAAGAACGTGATTTATTCAAAACTGTAAAAATGGTGCTATTGTAAGTTGGGAACGGAATAAAATACTAGATTTTTTTCGATATTAAACAAATACCCTTAAATTAATTTTTGTTTAATATATTTTCACACTCTTACTTTGTACCAAGAAATATAGTTAGATGACGTTTGCACCAGTTTTCCAAAAAGTCGTCTAAATAGCTCAGTCGATATTTATATCGAAGAAAACGCAACCTATCAAAACTAATTTCGCCAAATCTACCAAACTTTAGGATCAAAATTACGGAGAACGCAAGAATATTTGTCACGCCATGTCAAAAATGAAGGTTCACGAATATAGTACGCGAAATGCCTGCGCGAAGAACATGGACAACATTTTGAGCTTTATTAACAATTTTATTTCATTGGGTATTTGATATAATTATGGTTCTATTCTCTTAAAAATAGGCTGTTCATTAATACTTTTTCAAATAGGAAAAATTTATTTTTTTTGGTTAGTGTAGTTTAAAATTTAAATAAAATACGACTGCGTTTCGGTCTTTTATTCATGAAGTTGCCAAATGGTTTGAACGACAGTTTATGCGTGGTGAAAAACTAGAAGAGCGTAATAGCTGAGGGTGATAATAGAATCCTACATTCTTAAATAGTAAAATGTTTTATTGCCGATGTGAGTAGTAGTCTTACCTAACTTCTACGCCTGCCGTCCACTGATTGTGTCTTTTCTTAATGTGGAAACAATTATCTGTATCAAACATTTTGTTATAAAAATAACGACAACTCTTAATATAAAATTTAAAATGAGAACCAGCTGCTTAATGTAATTACTTTAATTTTATAGAGTTATTAAATGCACTTAAGGTTTATTTTTTATTAAACGCAAACATACAAAAACCGTTGCCTGGGACTCAAGCAATCCCAACCTTGTATTCAGAACTCTTATAACTAAATATATATTTATAGGCATTACTGCTGAAGTCACATTCGTACTCGAGGCAAATAAAAGTTACTTTCAGCAAAACTTCGGCACATGATGGCTAACTCAGTCAGTGATATGGACAGACGAGAAAAGAAAAATTTAACCTAAAATTTATTGGGTAAGACATAATTTCATGACAGTAATTACATTTAAACTATAGAAGATATTGATTGATTACTGCCCGAGACGGACATTAAATAACGGTGCCCTGGTGTCTCCGGCTTCGAGTATTTCAATACCTGCAATCTTAGCTGCGCTATATGCGCTATAGGTGCTAAAGCTCGAGTCCTAGGAGGACCTCCATCGACACTGCTGATCCGCTTTCGAAAAAACCGAGCACCATTAAACAGACCAACCTTTTAACATTTCGTAGGGCTGCCCTAATACTTTGTGTCTCTGTAAAGCGCTACCGCACCAGAGCCGCGAGCTCCTGGGAGCTCTTAATACCAACGTGTCCACTGAGAACGCATTTTGTGGCTTTAATCTCCACCTGTGTTCATTGAGATGCGCATGCCTTCCGATTTGGTTCACTTTCAGACCCGATTTCAGCAAGCTCTTCACAGCAGGCCAACGGATTGCGCCTTGCCTATATTCCAGAGAGCATAGGGGAAATGATGTGCGAAGAATGAAGGGAAAAATCTTACCGAGCATATTAGAAAGAAGTAAATAAAAAAACTTAATTTCACGATCAATTATGGCAGTGTTTGCACTTGTAAATATAATGGAAATGAATCAACTATTACTACACAAATTAAAGTAGTTACCGAAATACAATTTTATTTGTGGAAGTCCAGTAGTGGCGATAAAACTCATTTTTCAACTCGAACGCTCGAACGGCGAACAAAATTGAAACAATGACAAGTTTAAACTGGAACACTTAAGGAATCTACTATAAAATTTATAGAGAAAATTTCTCAAACTTTGTTCGAAGTTGCAAAACTTTTTATTCTTATAGAATATTGCCACGAGAGGAAGCATTGTCCTATGTGAACGTGTAGAAGCGGATCGGCCAATAAATTTCGCGTCGTTGTTTTAGTTCAAATATGTGAATACGTTTCCGATAAATAAATCATTGCTAAAGTTAGTATCGCGAAGGAGAGGGACGAAAAATATTTCTAACAAAACGAAAAAAAAAACAACAAAAAAATGTATATCATACGTGTTTCGTCACAATAATATGAAGAGAATCAGTTCGAACTCCAAAGTGTGAAT